TGCGCCGAGCGACGATCCTGGCCACGCCGGGGGAGGGAGAGAGAGAGAGAAAGTAGAGAGGAGAGAGGCTCATTGTTAACGAATCGCCATTGCCTTGAGGGAATGGGAAAGCGAGGAAGAACGAGGAGACATGCATGCGGGATGATGTTTGCCATTGATGGCAGGTTTACAATTCGTGTAATTTCATTTCTACCTGGATAAAAAGAGGAGAATAACAGGAAGTAAGGACGAGTGTGCGTGTGGGGGTGCATGAGTGGATGATGCTCTGGCAGTATTTTTGTCTCTCTCTCTCTAGGTATGCATTTGTCTATGTGCCACATGCAACTTCTTTCTTCTGCATGTTAATAAATCTTCTCACCATTGCAATTTTTGTTATTGTCGTTTATTTGCTCTTTTTTTCTTTTTTGCATGCACGCGTATTCACATTCTACACTTTGGAGCGAATTAGGCGGTAAAGACGTGAGAAGCGGTGATAAATGCCATGTGGGGCTCTCGTCCGAGGTATCGCCGTAACGTGAAGGCATTGCTGGATCGCAGTGCTCGGTTTCTCAGCAGCCTCCTGCACGGCGTGCCAAATGCTTCTTTTTTACTCCGCCTCAATGCTCCCTCTCTTTGGGGCAAAAGTGAATCCACTCCGGAAGAATGGCAACGGTGTCTCGGAGAATTGCTTTGCCGCGGTGCTGCCGCGAACTGTTTGCTCGACACGAAGTCTCACGTGGCGGAGGTTCATGCTTCGCTGGTGGCCGCATTTCTCCCAAAACCTCATTGGAATAACTCTATCACGCACAGCATGGACATTATTTCACTCTCCTCGCTTGAAAAGGAAGTTTCGGACACTGTGGCGGCCCTCTTGCACCTACCGGCCCGTTTCTTGTGGGTCCGACGTGCGGAGGCAGTCATGAAGAAGGCGGAGTCTCGCATGACTCATTCATCCACGGAATTGCACAGTGCTTCTCCTGCTGCGCTGATCTCAGCCGTAGAGCGTCCTGTGCCTTATGTTGGTGCTGGTGATGCTGGTGGTGGTGGACTGCTGCACAGCACATCGCTGGAGAGTCTTATTGTGCTCCTCACAACGGCCCGAGCGCAGGCTCATGCTCGTTATCTGAGTGCGCACTTCTCGAGCCCAGAGGAAGAGGCTCGCCTGTCGCAACGGTTGGTGCTTTACTGCAGTGATCAGTGCCAGCCGATGCTGAAGAAGGTGGCGCGCTGCATTGGCATACGACACATCCGAGTACTGAAAACAGTCTATTCTCCGCATGTTCACAACTACCCGATGCAGCCGGATATGTTGAAAGCGTCACTTGCGGAGGATGTTGCGAACGGACTTTATCCCTTATTGGTCTGTGGTGTATTTGGGGCCCGTACCACCGGTGCCGTGGATCCTCTCGAGGAGCTGGCGGAAATTTGTCATCGGATAAAAGTATGGTTTCACATCGACGCTAGTCACTCTGGATTGGCACTTGCGGCTTCCGCTGCTTCTGCTGCGTATGGTTTTAGGGATGGAGCAGGACAGTCTGGAGAATTTGCATCTGTTGACGAGAAGGACGCAGCGGCTGAGAGAATGTGGGAGCAGTGTACATCGACCTTTCATAGGGCTGCACTGCTTGCGGACTCCATCCACTTTGGTGTTTCAACGTCGTTCCTGCCGACCCTGTCAGCCAATATTTCTGCTTCACTGTTGTACGTCGCAGATGTGGCCAAGGTGAAGGTGACAATGCAAGGGATGAATGCGGAGGATGAGGCGGGTGGGAACACGTGGTGTACGCCGGGTATGACGGATGTCGCTTCGTTGCGGCTGGATGCTCCTGAGATGCGTTCTAACGAAATCTTCCGTCTTGCTCTCATGCTTATGCCATGTAGTCATGCGTCTGTGGGTTTTGCCGTGCGAGCTCACCAGGCCGCTCTGCGCTACCTGGAGCGGCGGCTACGTGCGGATGGGCGATTTGACTGCTCTTTGCATGCTTCCTGCTTTGGGATGGTGCTATTCCGCTGGCTTACGCTCGCGGATGAAGAGACGGCGGGACTCATGCAACGGTGGAGCGACGTTCTTGCCTCGTCTTCCGCAATGAACGAAGCCGGGGGCCACCGCTACCCGCACCGTGTCTCGCTAGGCCTCACACAGGTCCAGCGGCGGGTTTACATCTGCGTTGCTCTTGCCGCAGACGGTGATGATGGCGATGCGTGTGTGAGCCGGTGTGACGTGGACGCGCTTGTGGATTTGCTGAAAACAGCTGCCGATGAGTGGAGGGACATGTCGTCCTCCGTGACGTCTGCGATGTCATCGAAATCGAAGACATGAGACGTTGTGAGGCGACATTAGCGTTTCTGACGGTATGCGATAGTGGTGTTAGGTATTCTTATTATTATATATATACAAATATACAAATACTTACTTCCCTGAGCATTCCATTGTTTTTCTTTTTTTGGAGTGGAAGCGTCAAGATGTGGGCGTTGAATGGAAAGTAAAGTGGAGGCTGCGTACTGATTTTGTTTTTTTCTTTGTTTTTTCTCATCTTATTTTCTTCCTGTTCATTTCTTTTACTTTTAGGGTATTTTTACATGCGCCGAATTTCACCACCACTTTCCTCCGCAGTTTTTTCTTCTGCCGCGGCGTCTTCATCATCGTTTCGTGTGGCCACGAAGTCTGCAGAGGTCTCGCCGTGCGCTCTGCGCTCTCGACGCAGTTTCTCTCTTAGTGCTCTCCATGATGTCGGCGGTGGTTGTTGGAGGTGGCGTTTGACGTCTCTGGCGAGGATCCGCCACTTATCATTGAGGAGCCTCTGCCTGCATCACAGCGGGGGCGCGCTGAATAAGTTTGACGCGGTTGGATTTGCCGGGCGCCAGCGGAATGTCGCCAACGCCTTTGATTCGCTAGAGATGAATCTGTTTGATGATCCCACGGGCGGGCTGACAGCGGGACCTGCAGAGGAGTTGTCGACCACCGAGATTGAACACCAGGTGCGTCTAAACGTCTCTTCCTACTCCCGCTCCATCTTCTACCTCCTGTACACGCCCTTCGTGGATGTAATATCGGTGCTGCTGGAGCGTGGGCTCGCGCCGGATGTCGCACACCCGGGAGAAATGATGTGCCGTTGGTTTACGGATGGCGCCTTGACGCTGCAGAACCCTGCTTCCGTTGAAGAGGGAATGGGAGCAGAGAACTGGCGGCAGTTGTGTGAGGGACTTGATGCTTTTTACGAAGAAGTGGAGCCGGTTATGCCGCTGACGGCGGCGGTGCGGAAACACGGGCTGCCGGAGGACTTGTTGGTGCCGTTTCTCCGTCAGCTCTCAATGGACTTGCTGGTGCCTCTGCGCAAGCGGGCCGTGCTGGAGATTCTGCCCGGTCTCATTCTTGGGCTAGCGAATGGCCGCGCCCCGACGGCATTGGGGTTTCCCACCGACAGCCAGCGTGCACGAGCCATCATGGTGGCCGATCTCTTTCTTGGGGTTGGGCAGGAAACAGGCAACACGGACTTGGCGTATCTTGGCATCCAGCTTCTTCGTGCAAATGACATTCCCGTGCCGTTTCCAAAGCAAAAGCAGCTGACAAATGTTTTCTCTGCCGCCACACGAATTCATACGGACTGGCAGATGCGAGTCAGCGGACAGCTTGTAGAGGTTCTGCCTAAATGGATGGAGTACTACAAGAAGGTTCATTTGGACAATCTTAGGGCCATGAAGGGACTCAGTGAGACGGATTCAACAAGTGCGGTGAAACAGGGGGATGACGATGGGGAAAGGATTGATGTCCTGAAAGCGAAGAGGGCCATCCATGCAATTGGTGATGGCGTTAATGCTGCAGGTAAACAAACTGATAAGGAAAGCAACAGTGATGGCGTGCATGGTTACTTCTCAAGCCATCGCACGGAGAATTTGCTGCGTCTTTCTGCTCTGGAGAGTCAAGTATTGACGGCCGTGCGTCACAGGGTGGTTGCGTGGAATGATGACAGCAACAAGCTATACTACCGCTTCCGGCGGAGGAGGCCAGCCACTGCGGAGCCGAATGCGGAGGAAACAGACGTGCCGAAGGAACCCACCGAGGAGGAGGAGGAGGATGCAAGGCGCGTGGATGCCGCGGAAGATGTGGCGCTGGTGGAAGACGGACGCCGCGGGCGAAGGGCGAAGACACACACGCAGGCAGATGAGAAGGACCCCAAAGTGAATCCTAAAGGGCATCGGTCAAGGAAGAAAAGGACAATCGCCGCTCCCGTAGACGATGATAGCGGCAGTACATTCACTCTGACCGTGTAGTCACGGCAGATGGTGGTGGTGGGGGCACAACATTTTTTTTTGGTTTCTTGGTGGCTTAGTCATACCGGAGGAGTCCCACCGGTGTCGCACCACAAGGGCCAAAAGAAGCACGCACACGTAGACACACGAAAACAAGAACAACAACAAAGGAAGGAAAAGACGCAAACAACACCGTTATTGGCACCATTTTCATTGACGCCTGGACCCTTTTTTGTTTTTTTCCCTTCCTGTTGGTGTTTCTTGTCGTTGGCTACATGCACGTAATATACATTCGTACATGCGTGCATCTACTTGGGTAGGACGCGCTGGGTTTATGTTTGTTTGGTTTTGTTTCCGTCATTTTATTTTCGGAATCATCTTATCACGTTTGTTAAAATTTTCCATTATTTGCGTGTGTGTCTGTGCGTGGAGGAGGTGGCTGTGGGGTTGAGCTGCGACCTATTGATTTGGCGTGCATTTTCCCGATGCCCTGCTGTTCTTTTCACACCAGACGTATCCGGTTTATCTCACTTTCTTTTTCTTATTTGCCTTTTTTCTTATTTACGTCGCGGAGAGGTGGCTTGCGGGGCGAGTGGTTGTGTGTGTCTTTGGTGGACAGGCAAACTCCGAAACAGACTGGGCAATAAAAAAAAAAAAAAGTGGCGCGGAGGCCAGGAATTAAAAACAAGCAAACAAAAAAGGGTGAGAAGGAGGCGTAAGTTTTCTGTGAGGGTTCATTGTGTTTTTTTTTTTTGGTTTGGTGCGGTGCGATGGGCGTTTTTGGGCTGCGCAGGTTCATTGACGCTTCCTCCTGCACGAGATTTCTCCCCGAAACCGTGCAGGATGCGGAGAAGCCATTAGCCGCCCGTGATCTCGACAAGACGCATGGGACGGCCGGTAACTCGGCGCTTTCTTCGAGCCCTGCGGCGACGCCACAC